CCAAATAAATAAAGTTTTGTTTATTTTGTCGTTGAAACATATAAAGTTTTTAGAAGAAGGTAAACAAGTGTAGAAGGCATCAGCCTTTAGGAAGTAAAGTTTTTAAGAACAATATATAGACTTTATTATCAAAAATAAAAAAATATTTTTGAGAACGTCTGTTTTTTTGGATTGGCAAGAGGATCAATAGAAAGAGTACTTCTTTTTATATATTTTATTTTATTTATTTATATAGAAAAATATATATTTAAAAATTATATTTTTTAATTAATATTAAAGTTATTTGTTTTACTTTTATATTAATAATGTTTTTTTTTAATAATAATAAACAATTAATAATTATAATGTTCATTTTTTAAATTATTAAAAATATTATCATTAATTATAACTTTTTTCATAAGACCTATTTCTGTTATTATTTTGATTGATTTATTTGTAAATAATTCTAATATTAATCTGGATAATTTTAATTGGAATCTTTTTTTTTAGTAAGGCATAAAAAAAATCTTTATTATTTTGATTTATATTTCTAAAAAGTCAATAAAAAGTTTTCTAAATTCAAATAGATTAAATTTTTATTTTTTGATAAAATAAAATTATCAAATGCTATTGTAAATTCATTATAAAGAATATTTTTATTTGGATTGATTTTTGTTATCTGAATTTTATATTAAAATTACAATGTTGATATTTTTTTTAAAACTTTTACTTGAAATGCTATATGTAATATATGTACAGTATATACTATATACAGTATTAACAATATAAATTTATAAATAATATTAATTATTGTAAACTAAATTTTATATTTATTATTACATTAATTTAATTATTAATATATTTGCTATCGTTATAAATAATACTTAACGATTTATTATTTTCTAATCTCACATAATTTAATGATTGCAAATGATTAAACCTATTTGTAGCATTGTCCATCAGCCTATAATTTTGATTACAATAAATTTTTTTCTTTAAGGATTATTATTTACTAAAGATGTGATATTACCTGTTTGTAAAAATTTTCTATCTCATATTATTAGCTTCTTGCAGTATATTGAGATTATTTCTGTACTGTAACATTGAATATTACTTGAAAATTGTATCAATCATGATTGTCTCGTAATGAATAATGTAATATTACTATAATGCCTCCTTATCAAAAGGTGAGGAATTATTTGTTTTAGTTTGTAATTCTCAGCATAGCAAAAATTTATAATAATAAAAAAGGGAGAAGGCTGAGTGATTTAACTTATCTCGTGCAGTATTCTATAGTGATAGCGGATCTAAACGTTCGTAAACCTTCGTGAAATTCGCTAACCAGAAAATCATTGTACGCTTACAGGCTAATTTTAACCTTTTCATTAATTATTAATTTTTTTTGCTTTGTATTTTATTTTATAAAAACTTTTTTTTTTAAAAAAAAAATAAATATATCCGCTGTAATATACAACACAAACTCTCAACATCCATTCATTACGCTATAGGTTTTTCTTACAAATCCCTTAGAGATTTACAACATAATTTCACAGAAAAGTCCTTAATGCTCTTGTCGGTGAAACTATTTTTAGTTTATTTTCCAGTGACCTTTCCAATTATTCGATTCACATCTCGATACCTATTATACAGAAATCCCAAATATGGGTGCGCGTCCTTACCATCATAATTTGACTTCTTTAACTTGGTGGAGATCATTAATGGGGCCAAAACTGTATTTATAGTAGATTGATATGGCACAACTGACGCGTAACATGAACACATCACATTATCGGCCACCAGAGTGCCGGCACGTGTAAATATTGCAATATAACCTTTATGAGTTTCCTAAATAAAACAAACAAGACATGAGAGAAGAGTTTGGCAATAAGACAGATAACCGTAATACGTAATATACACCACGTACCTTTGTCACGTCAGCAACACGAACATATACCATTTGTGACCCGTTGAGCACTCGAAGTTGAGATGAATAAGGCTGCACGTTTCTCGCGAAATCAAAGTTATTGTTGTCCAATATGTGATGATCTGGTGAAAGTGTCACTGATTCTGTACATTTCATATGGAATTAATAAGTTATCATTATAAATCATTAATTATTGTATTTGTTTAATTTAAACGTATGTTACACACCGGTTAATCCAGTCCTTGGTGAAGTGAATTCAATCTTCAAGAACTCAGTTTCCGTCTCAGGGTCATAATGCGCTATCAGGTACACTTCCGAAAATTCTAACCTTCCGTTATTAGCATCCACGCAAACCTTATCGCCCACAATCACCGAAGAAATCGGAATCGTTTCTCCAGTTTCGAGTATGACTTTGGTATCCAATTTA